GCATAAAAGGATTCCCACCATGCACAGCAGAATCCAAGATGGACGCCAGCACATGGAGTAACATAACCTCAGGGAAAAGGTAGGACCTTGACAGTACGTCAGACTGTCTACTCTGCAAAAAGGGGTCATTTGGGGATATCTGTACTATTCTGACATTCTTTGACCTCAAGAAATTAGATTGGCTGTCAGTACTTCAGGATTGATAAATATTCAGATATATACCATAGTTTGTGAACTCTATAACTTTCCTACAAACTAAAAAATACATCCTAATTTGGGTTATTTTCACCAAAGACATGTAGCAGAATACATCTCGGCCTAAATTTATGAAGAACAATTATTTATTTGTAAACTTTTATAACAGAAATAAAGAAAAATGTGTTTTTTTTTTTCAAAATTTTTGGTCTTTTTTTGTTAATTTAGCAAAAAATAAAAACCCCAGCGGTGATTAAATACCACCAAAAGAAAGCTCTAGTTGTGTGAAGAAAATGATAAAATTTTAGTTTGGGTACAATGTTGTATGACCACGCAATTGTCATTCAAAGTGTGAGAGCGCTGAAACCTGAAAAATGGCCTGGGCAGGAAGGTGTAAAATTGCCCGGTATTGAAACGGTTAAACCATCTATATATTTTAAACTTAATATTTTATACTTGTTGCAATGCTTACTGTACCTTGGAAATTTTTCTTCCAATTTCCTGAGTAAAGACTTATTGGATCAGACATGCAGAGTTCAGCAAAACTATTTCATTGATAATTATAAGCGCAATACAAAATGTTTAGCTATACTGCAATTTTTTATAATCCTAGATTGTAAGCTCGAAAGAGCAGGGCCCTTGAACCCCTCGTGTACTGTTTTGTTACTGTATTGTCTCATGTTCTGTCCCCAACTATAATGTACAGCGCTGAGCAAACCTTTTGGCGCTATATAAATACTGTATAATAATAATAATAATCATCGCATGACATCCAGGCTGACAGTGCTGCTTCTATATAAAACATGTGCCACCTAGTGGTGTCTAATTGATAAAGCATCACTGGGGTCTGGATGTCCAGCACAAACATGTCTGTTACACTTTGAGGCCTTGTTCACACTGGTATTTAGTTTGTGTTTCCAAGAGAGTAAACAGCTTCAGTATAAACGGTCATTGGTCAGTATGACTGTTTTTGATGAAGTGCAAACCCAAAAATTTACATCCAGCCTTCTGGCTGCAGTATACCATGCCATTCCACTAACTTACAATGCTTCTGCTAGTGCTTCCTTTTACCAAAAAGATCATTTGTAAGCCCACTGAATTGCCATTCCATGTAACTGGAGTGCTGGATGCAAATATATATGCATACAAACTGCAGAAAAATGTGTTTTCTGCAATGTGTTGGGTACAGATTTGTGGTCATAGGGCAAGAACTATTAGAGACAAAGAAGGTTCATACCTTAAAGGGTTAGCTCACCTTTTCAGAAAAAAAAAAAAAAAAGGTAAACAGTGGAGTTGACCAGAAATAGATGATTCCTACAGCAAAAAGAAACTGACAAAGATTCTAACACTTCACCTTTCTTAATTAAAAAAAGTGTCCACACGGGATAGAATTTCCATAACTTTGTGTCCCTGATTAACCTCTCCTCCATTGACTTTGGACAGGAAGTGTAAGGAAATTTCCTCAGTGAAGAAACAGGCAGGAATATAACCCACACAGAGGTTCTAACTTTTCCGCAGTCCTGAAACTCCCAAAAAAACTTTTGGATAGAGATGGACTTTACTTTGTTCAATCAGCCTGTCTGTGACAAGCACAATCCTTTCCTATAGTGGGACACAATACAAGCTCCTATAGTCCCCTTTACCACCAATGACTGTTAATGCTGTCTTACAAAGAGCACCAGAATTTTTTTTTTGTTGTTGTTTTGAGTGGAGTGGAGAAGGATTAAGAACCGCTGTCAGACTTTATTGTTGCATGTGTCAACAGCAGTTTCCCCCTCTTTCCTTCCCCGGAAACACAACAGTAAAGGGGTTATTTACTACAGATGGAGAGTAAAAAATCTGGTGCAGCTCTTCAAAGAAACCAATCAGCTTTCAGGTTTTATTGTCAAAGCTTAATTGAACAAGCTGAAGTTAGAATATGATTGGTTACCACACACAGCTGCACCAGATTCTGAGTGCTCCAGTTTTGGTAAATCGCCCTCTAAGGGAGCAAAAATGAGATTTGACAGCTGACTCCTGCAACAAGCCTTGGAGCTCAACATATATCGTGTTTATACAAGAAGTGTCACTCACATTTCTCTACAGAAACCCAATGTCATAAGTAAGTGGTCTCCAAACTGCGGTCCATGGGCTGGACGTAGCACTTTTTTTGCTTTTATTTGGCCCTTGGGACACTTTCCCTCCCATTGATAAGAGGCACTATTCCTTCCTCTGACACCAACAACTGGGTATTATGCCTCCCAATGATAGGGCATAGCATCTTCCTCTGACCTCATCGATGGGGCACTATTCCTCCTACTAATACCAATGATGGGGGACTATTCCTCCACCTACTAACTACAGGGATGTTATGAAGCATTATCTACTCCCACTGTCCACAGTCTGGCCCATCTAAAGTCTGAAGGACAGTAAACTGGCCCTGTGCTTAGAAAATCTGGAGAACCTTGTCATAAGTTAGTACAAACTGAAGAGACGTAGAACAGTTATCCGCTATAAGCAGACCTACAGTTTTGTTTACCATCTTGAATTTGCACTCTTTTGCTCCATTAAATAAATATATACACACACATATATATATATATATATATATATATATATATATATATATATATATATACATACATACATACACACACACATACATACACCTAGTTTGATAAGTGCGATAATATACATGTTGGTCATGTCAGAAATCCTGTCAACTGATTTTCCTGTGCTCCCTGCTTATGCTGCACTCTGTCAATTACTGTACATTGTTCACAGTTCTTGCTGAGAACTACACAGCCCCTTCCCTCTATGTTATGGGGAAAAGGAGAGGGGTAGATTTCTGTAGGAACGGTCTGGATTTCTGTAGTCCTGTCCTAGGGTGTTGTTGTTTCTCCATAGACACATTACAGTGAGTGAGCACTGTCACCCTGGGAGAGGATGCATGTTACTGGCAGGATCGCCAGGAAAAACTCAAAGGAAAAAGCCAGAAAAAGAACACTAATGCAACCACAACATCTAAGAGTTGGTAAGCTGAAACTATATACATTCTCCTGGGTTTAGACAGTCGTTAAATAATTAGTACCAATAAATAAATAATTTGCGCTAGTAAATGTGTATAAAAAGAAATCATCAAATCATAAGTCCAGAAAAAAATATATATATGCCAATACCACAAAAAAAATATAAAAACTTTTAAGTGCAAAAAACTTTTGTGCAAAAAAAGTGTCTAAATATGAGAAATTTTCACCAAAAAACCTTGATAATATAATGGCAGATCATCCATAAATATATCTTCAGAAACGGAAACTCTGCAACACACCGATCCTCATCGATCGAAATAACAGGATGAAAAACTTTATGGATGATCTGCCATTATATTATCAAGGTTTTTTTGGTGAAATTTCTCATATTTAGACACTTTTTTTGCACAAAAGTTTTTTGCACTTAAAAGTTTTTATATTTTTTTTGTGGTATTGGCATATATATATTTTTTTTTCTGGACTTATGATTTGATGATTTCTTTTTATACACATTTACTAGCGCAAATTATTTATTTATTGGTACACTTTATATATGGTGATTTTTTGCAGCTGGTACACTATTAGTAAGTTATATAATTTTGACCATAGGCGCTATTATTAATTTTTCTTATCGTTAAATAATTAGGCCTGATTGGTTGCTATTGGCAATTGTTGGCAAACATTACAAAATTTGTTGCTATATGCACACACATGGAGGTAACAGCACATAGTGTAGTTGTCATTTCAGTCACTGGGATAGCGCAGCACCGTTTATTGTTTGTACGAGGGGCATTGAAGTCAAACCGGGACTTTTCAGTTTATATAATAAAGAACAAATTTCAAGGAGTGAAAACTGCATTTATTTTTTCTACATACTCCCCTGCTACATTTATATACTTATCTCATCGTTTAACTAATGCCTGGAAAGCTTCGGCATAGAAAGATTTGTCAGTATGCCTGAACCATCCTAGGACAGCCTGCTTCACCTTGCCATCATTGTGTTCACTGTTCCCACGGAAAGATTTGTCTCTTGTGAAATTTCATGAAAGGTTATGCATCAATTATCCAGGATTAGGCGCTCCTCGTGCTGAATGTTCACAGGAGTGACTGCTGTGGGCTGGGAACCACCTAGGCTGGAAATGTTACTGATGGACATACGGCCATCTGTGAAATGTTTACACCCTTCAAATGTCTTACTGCAGCTGAACGTCCCATCACTGTACTGTGCTTGAAGTCTTCTGTAGATATCTGCGGGTTTTACGCCTTCGTTCGCAAAAAACTTCATCACCATACGCTGCTCCATGCACACAGAAACACCGTTGTCTGCTATCATGACTAACTTCTTTGGACTGGCCTGTGACATGTGTGCCACCTATTAGTGACAGGGCACACTTACTACTGCGTGTAGTACTGCCAGACTAGCATGTAAGATTAAAAGTCCCGGTTTGACTTGACCACCCCTCAAAGTTTCAGTAGTCATTGTGGGAACACAATAGGTGTTAGCAGTTGCCATGTTTATTTAATATTTTGGGGTTTTTTTTTGGTAGCACACAAGTTAATTTTTTCTTTATTAATTGTTGCACTATTGCGGCAATTTCCACAATTTAACTCCAGCATAAATTATCAGAATAAACAAAGCATACTCACATGCCTTTCCTCCTCCCCCCTGTCCAGAGACACAGCTTCTAAAACCACTTGAGTATTCTTTAACATAAATTGGTCCAAAATGACCTCATGAAATATTTGGCTCTTTTCCCTTGTGCTGAGCACCTTCTTGGGGAGGGGAGAATCCAAATACACCACTCTTGAGGGCTTGTCATCTGATGAGAATGAGAATTGAGAGCAGTTTCATTTCAGAACTCCTGCAGATGTTAAATACACATTTCAGCTTCTGGAATGGATGAAGAGACCTCACTGCACACACTCAGTTTTCATGAATATCCAAAATACTTATCAACAAAACAAGTCCTCATAATTGTACTCCTTCGGAAATATGGCTTTATGCATTTTAACACACTTTTGCAAATATTTCCCTTGATCTTGTAGATATTTGGGCTCAAATTTGTGCCTTAGCGTATTTGTGTGGACTCTATAAAAATTTGTTTATTCAGCAGAAAACTTAGTTAGCCAAAGACTGTCTGACCTCAAAGTGCCATGTCAAAAATGTTCCTGCTTTTCCACTACTATCTGCTGCCATGCATCTGTTGTTATATACTCAAAACGTTCACAGTGGTACTGTGAGGTTCTAGGCAGTTGTACCAGAAAGCTTCAGTATGCTATTTCCTGTTGTATTTATTTGAAACATATTTTCACTAAACAATTTTTCCAATTGTTTCCCAACAGCCCTGAGTTCTATTCTCTGGCATCATTTTCCATTCTCTAGTACTTTAGCCATGTTCTCCTAAGTCCCTAGGTTCTATTATCTGGCAATATTTCCTATTGACCCTCAACTACCCCAGGTTATATTCTCTAGAACGCTTTCCCATGGTTCCTTAAACCATCCCAAGTTCTATTCACTAGCAGTATTACCCATGATCCCCCCATAGCCCCAGGTTCTATTGTCTTCCACTATGTCCTATGGTCTCTCCACAGTCCCAGGTTTTATTCTATGCCAATATTTCCCATGATCCCCAAGGGTTCCAAATTCTATTTTCTTGCTCCATTTTCCATTGTCTTTCAACCACCCCAGATTCTATTTTCTGCCACTATTTCCCATAGTCACCATCAACCCCAGATTCTATTCTCTGCCACGGTTTCCTATGGTGTCCAAAAGAACTGGGTTCTATTCTCGGACTCCTTTTCTTATGGTCTCCCAACCCCCGAGGTTCCGTTCTCTGGCATTATTTCCCATGGTGTCCCACAAATCCCAGGTTTTATTCCCTGGCATTATTTCCTTGTTGTCACCCATCACCCCCAGCTTCTATCCTTTGCCACTAATTCCAATGATTCCTCAAGCTGGGTACAGACTATCAGATTTTTTTCGTTTAATTCAGCAAGCTGAACGAAAAAACAAAAAAAAAAAAAACCTATAGAACTCAGGAGGAGCTTGCTGTACTATCTGATGTTAGTACAGTGATCTCCCGCTGAGCTATTGGCTGCCAGCACTAATTTGATACCGATCCAATGCTGGTTTCTCTACATGCCCATTCAACAGAAGACAGACGTTTGGCCAACTTCTGTCGCACAGGCAAGTGTACACATGGGTCGAATGTTGGGCGGTTTCTATTGAACCGGAAAAAACATGGAAAATGCACAATCTAGGCTAGTCATCTCACCTATGCTATTAATTGTCTCCACACGAACAGGAATCTCCCACTGTTCACTGTATACAGGTCCATGATTATTAAGCAGAGTGTACAAAGCCTGCACAGTAAGCACAACCTGCGGATAGTACTTTGAAACCAGTTTAGAAATGTTGGGATCTGAGGTCACACCCTGTTGAGGAACAGTAAACAGTTATTAGTATCAGAACCAGTTTTAAATTCACCACAGGTTACAATTTTACGGTAAGATCTACCAACAACTATGTAGTGCAAGAGTCTGCTTGACTGGATACACATTGATTGCATGATTTACGTTGGTCCTAATATTAGAGTTTTGGCAAATCTAACGGAGATTGTGCAGTCATATTGTAACGTTATGGACCAGCTCTCACCACATGCAGTCCCATGCGTTTTTTCTTCTGCATCAAAAACGCATGTAAAATAGGTAAAATAGGGTTTTAATTGCACAGTTCACACCACAGTTTCAGGGTGTTCCAGTTACAGAAAATAGGTAGAATACACCAGACCCCAGTATGGTGAAAAAAAAAAAAAAACAGGAAAAAAGCATCTGGAACGCATCAAAAACGTGGTAAACACGCAACGGAATACATCAAAAATGCAAATGCAGAAACGCATCTCGAACATATCTGAAATGCGTTTTTGTGGTGTGAACCAGCTTGAAAGGTAATCTTTATAAAAAGAGCTACCTAGAACACTTCAAAATCTACACACATTTGTAGAAAATGTTTGCCCTATACCAAGTGCAGCAATTGTATTTGTAATATTAAAACTAAGCTTTAGTGAACTTTAGTAGAAAAATGTTCACATATTATATTCTTCAATATTCACAAAAAGACATATATCCATTATGGGGAGTAAGGGTGTAGTTTGGATAGGTTGACTAATATACAGTGCGTAGCCAACAAGCTCGGGTTAGATCTTTTGTCCCCCTCTACAGTTTAAGTATGAGTATATATAGTATATTGGGTTCAGAAGTTTATTGACTCTTTTTTTCTTATTATTTCTTGTTTTCTCTTTTTCTTTTCTGAATTTTCTCCTTTTTTCATCCCTTTTTTTTCCTTTATATAGAATTGGTATTTTTTCTGCCCTCACACCACATATTTTTACAATGAATTGGTCCTTCCTCAAGTGAGTGAAAATGGTCAATTTAATAAGGAAAATTTCAGGGATAAAGATAGGACTAGATCCAGAAGTGTGCTTGTTACATAGTACAGAGATACCAGTGAATACATATAAAGATTGGGGTATATGGTACTATGTGAATGCAGCAAAGGGCCTAATACCTAAATTCTGGCACAGTCCAGAGGTGCCGGGAGAAAAGGATTGGGTAGAGAGAGTAAATCAGATCAGTAAGATGGAGAAGTTGTATTATAGCCAAGAAGACAAAATGGAGATCTACATTAGGAGATGGAATGGGAAGAATTTGTACATCAAATGAATATATGTGAAGCAATGGAAAGTGATAAATGAAGTTTCTTTTTTTTTTGATCTTTAGGAAAGGATGTAAGAGAGAAATGCAGAGTGGGAGGGTGGAGGGAGGGTAGGAAATAGGGGTAGAGGGAAGGGAAATAAGGGGGGGAAAATAGAAGGAGATAAGAATTTTATAAGATATATGAGAGTGTTGAAGAAATGTATTATCTTCTTTATTTATTTTTCTCTTTTTATATGTATTTATGAATATGAAAAATTAATAAATATTTGAATTAAAAAAAAAAAAAAGTGAGTGACTGTGGTTCTTCGTTGTTGTGACAGTGGCTATGTTGTGAATTTTGAAAAAACAGATATATATCAGATCACCCTGAGGAAGTAAGCTTTTGACCTGCAAAACACATCAGAACTATTTACATGAAGGAGTTCTATACATTACATTCTCCTTATGACTTTATATGCAATCTTGAAGCTATTTATATCAAGTTTGATGGTTGCATTGTCACAACATGCAATGGTATATGTGTTTTAAGAGAGCCTGTTTTTGTACTACAATCATGTTTTTTTTAATATTTGTACAATAAAGTTATGAAATTTATAACACTTTTATATTTAGTTGTTGGTATGGTACCCAAAAAGTCCAGGTAGCTTTTCTAGTTCGGGCTTTTGCATATTTCAGTGTCTTTATACATGCCTCCTGTGTTTAGACTCAATTTGTTTAGCCAGCTACAATGAGGTCGGCTAGTTCTGAATGGGCATCCATGGACATCCTCCCACAACCACGCCCCCCACCACCTATCAGTGCTCATCAGTGATGCCTGTCAGTGCCGCCTAAATCGGAGCACATCACTGAAGGGAAAAATCACTTAATTTACAAAACTTTATAACAGAAACTAAAAGGAAAACCTTTTTTTTTCTTCAAAATTTTGGGTCTTTTTTTGTTTAGCAAAAAAAAAAACCCTAGTGGTGATTAAATACCACTAAAAGAAAACTATTTGTCACAAAAAAATTATAAAAAAATTTGTTTGGGTACAGTGTTGCATGAGCGTTCAATTGTCATTCAAATTGCGACAGTGCGGAAGGCTGAAAATTGTCCTGGGCAAGAAGGGAGTGAAAGTGCCCGGTAGGCAAATGGTTAAAAAAGAATTCAAGTTACTAAGAAAAGAAAAATGTTTTGTTCAAATTATCTCCAAAAGGACCTGACAGCTATTACGTAAAACTAATTTGCAAAATAATTCAAGCCCTATCCGCTGAGTTTAAATTTTAAAGTTTAAAAACAAAAACATTTCCCCTGTATGTAATTTAAGATAATGAATCTATCCATTGCAAATGTCAAAACATTCTACAAGAAAAAAATTAAAATTAAACAAATAAATAAAACATTATCACTAAAATGAAATTGTACCTTATGCAGACGCCCAGCCTTTCTCACTGGGGACACGGTTCGGGAAACTTTTTTGTATGACTTTGAGAGAACAATATCATCTGTTGGAAATTTGACTTTCACAAAGTTTACTGATCCCTGGAAAAAAACAAATGTTTATCAGTCAATAAAACAAGCAAGCATTTTAGTTGCTGGTACCTACATGTAGCTTCAGATTTCTGAATACCTTGCAGCCCAGAGCCCTAGAACTCTTAGCCACGGTTTACGCCAGTGCGACTTGTCAAGCAGTTTCACAGTTTCAAGTCGCACCCTATTGTCGAAAATAGAACCATTCAAATCGGTGTGACTCCAACTTTTGCAGTGCCGCACAGATTTGAAGATAAGAGTCCTGCACCATTTATTGCGATTTCAGGAGCAACTTGAATCTGTGCATGAAGTCTCACAGATGTCTGCCAAGTCACACTGATATGTGACATTGAAATTGTGCAACTTCAAGTGAAGTCGCATGATTTCAAGGTCAGATCCAGTGTGAACCAGGGCTTAAAGTTGCGTTAAAGAGCTCCCCTCCTGCCCCTCACCATTAGTCTCTAAATGTCATACATGAGCACACTGACCACTATTGCAGAGTTGGAAGTGTGTAGTTTTCTGAGCCCTGGGTAATATTTTCTTTTACAATGTTTTTTACTGGGATTTCAACAGTGAAATATTACAGATATCCAGTTGGAGAGTCTATCTGGCACAAGAGCATGAAGACAAACATGACACTTTTTAATATTTAAAGGTTAAGTTCACCTTTTGTAACATGTTACATCCAAACTCAAGGTATAACATGTTACAGATGCACTGGCCTCCGATCCCCCATTTTGACAGCTAGCAGGGGATCTTCTACCCCTGGTGGATGTCACAATCTGGATAAAACACAGCGCTGCAGAGCTCTGCCTGCCTGGCCACATCATTCATTCACAATATTCTGGGAATGGGAAAACCACAAGTTCTGACAGTCTTTGCAGCTGTCGGCTTGTAGTTCTCAATGAACTACCAAAGCGCTTTTGATCACTCTAGGTAGTTCACTGAGTTTCCTGTAAGACTGTAACTGCTTGCCCGTATTGGAGGTATGGGCAGACAACTACACAGACCGTCTGCAGGAACGTGGCATTACACCCACAATCTACTGATCGCGAGTGCAATGCTTTACAGGCACCTAACAAAAATATAAAAGCATATTTTTTTTACCCTATAAAAATGTGCATTTATTATGCACTTATAAGTTTTTTTATTTTAAGTGATAAAGCATCTGAAGGAGAAATAATAAAGGCCAAGGAATACTAGTGTGGGATTACTCTCAAAAGCATAAAATAGAGGATATATGTATGAAATGTTAACACCAATAGTGTACAAAACCTTTTAAAGAGCTGTGTACCAATCATGGCATTCTCAATACTACATGTGATTATACATGATGCACGATGCCAATCCTTGACGTACCTTATTTGAATAGATTGTAGAGACCTGAACTCATGCAGGGTCTCACGTATACGAAAGAGCATGATATAAAGAACTGATGCTGTGGGGTATGGAATTAGACTGTAAGAGATAATTTCAGAGAGAAGGAGAATAGTGGGGAAAGGGGGCTCAAATAGAAAGTTGAAGGAAAAAAAAAAAAAAAGAAGAAAGAAGGAAAGAAGGTTGGGAGGGATAGAACAAAAAAGGGGAAAGTGAATTTGGAGAAGGGAAAAAAATGTAAGATGGGAGGAAAGAAAGGGAGGGGGGAGGAGAGGCGAGGGCAGCAGCACATACATTTTCAAAGGAAGTGCTTCACTAGGTTTTGCGTAATCTATCCATGGGTCCAAACTCTCAAAAACTATTGCGAGATATCAAAATATATATAAAAAAAAAAAAATTAAACCAACAACTGTGGGATGTATGGTATGGGCTTGTTTAGTAGAGCTTCGCAAGGGTCCTTTTCTAGATTATGACTGAGCACTGAATAATTTAGGTTACAGACCTAGGGCAGGATTATCAGATATGTGGCATTGTGCCTTGACATTGCCTAAAAACAGTTTGAGGAGTAATTAGGAATGTATTTACTTATACAGAATAGAGTAATGTACACCTGAAGAGAATAGGTTAAAATATTTCTAAAGCTAATATGTTGGTGGAGCTTTTGGAAGCGGGTGTGATTCTATTGTTGTGGTCAGACCTGGGGCATGTGAGTATGTGCAGCCTCTATTTTCAAAATTTGTAGGTAAAAGTGGTGTACCACGCTTATTGAGTAAGGAAGAGATAAAGTTGCAAAATTACCTGTAATGAAAGGTAATTGTATTGGGTGCTTTGTGGGTTTCTTAAAAGGATTGAAATATCTTAAATGACAGTAAATGATCAGAGAAACCTATAAAATATCCATCTAAAGTTGCTATGGGATTTCATTCCTGTAGGGGGACAATTAGCCACCTGATGATGCCTAGCAAGGGCAGGTAGGATGAAAGAAGCCCTTGAAGTACTAATGCAGGCCATAGATGGGGAGAAAAACTGCAGATTTTTCTTTTAAAAAACGAAAAATCGGTTGTTCAAGTGGCCGACGTTACCATCAATGGTAAAAAAAAAAAAAAATCGGCCGATTTTCTACCCGTCTAGAGCCGGCAAAAAGTGTCCCTGCAGAGAGCTCTGCTATTTCTCTTTGACAGTTCTCTGACAGTTCCTTGACATTTATAGAAGTTGCAACAATGTATCTATTTGTTTCCATTTAGGATACAGATGTTTTTATTCGGAAACAAATAGATACAATGTTTCAACCGCTGTAAATGTGAAGGAACTGTCAGAGAACTGTCAGAAATAGCGGAGCTCTCTGCAGACACTTTTTGCTGGACTGGAATTCTTCTTATTTTCATCCTACTTCTTCATCCTCATCCTCCTCTTCTTCTTCTTCATCCTCATCCTCCTCTTCATCCTCCTCATCCTCCTTTCTTCTTCATCCTCATCCTCTCTTCTTCTTCTTCATCCTCCTCATCCTCTTCTCCTCATCCTCCTCATCCTCTTCTTCTTCTTCATCCTCCTCATCCTTTCTTCATCCTCCTCATCCTCTTCTTCTTCCTCCTCATCCTCTTCTTCATCTCCTCATCCTCTCTCTTCATCCTCATCCTCCTCTTCTTCTTCTTCTCCTCCTCATCCTCTTCTTCTTCTTCATCCTCTTCTTCTTCTTCATCCTCATCTCCTCTTCTTCTTCTCCTCATCCTCCTCTTCTTCTCCTTCTTCTTCCTCCTCCTCCTCTTCTTCTTCTTCATCCTCATCCTCCTCTTCTTCTTCATCCTCATCCTCCTCTTCTCTCTTCATCCTCATCCTCCTCTTCTTCCTCATCCTCTTCCTCTTCATCCTCATCCTCTCATCCTCTTCCTCATCCTCATCTTCTTCCTCATCCTCTTCTTCATCCTCATCCTCTTCTTCTTCCTCATCCTCTTCTTCTTCCTCATCCTCTTCTTCATCGTCTTCCTCTTCTTCTTTTTCTTCTTTTTGTCTTCCTCTTGCAGGTCACTGCTCATGCGCAGATTTTTTATCGGTAAAAAAATCGGCCGATTTGCCCACTAATTGCCGCGAAAATCGGGCCGATCGGCAAAATCGGCCGATTTTTTTCCAACTTTACCGAAAAAAAAAAAAAAAAACGGCCAAAATACCGAAAAACGGCCGACCAAATCGCCCACTAACGATCAAAATCGGCCGATTTTATTTTCGGCCGAAAAATCGGCCGATTTTCGACCCATCTATGGCCTGCATTAGTGTAGCACCAAACTGCTAGGGATTGTTACAGGACAGAGTTTAGTTGAGTGGGTTGCAGACTGGGAGGCAGGAAGGTGCTATATGTACTGCTTTGTAGTAATTTGCTAAGATAGGGATCCCCAAGTCACCTTTAAGTTTATGATGACATAACATAGTTAAAATAACTTTGAGTCCTGAGGGGCCCATTTGCATTGTTTTATATTGAAGACAGCAAGAATGTTAGGATCTGCTACCAGTAAATATTCTTTTACAAATAATTTTATTATAGAATAGATAGGAGCAGCGAATCAGTCAAAAAACAGATACATTGACCAACAGGAATAAAACATACAAGGTATTCGATGAATATTACAAAATACGTTACTGATGGAGAGACATAGAAACAAACAGCATACTTAAGTGCCGAGTACAGAAAGAGGAGAAAAAAAAAAAAAGAGTGGAGAAAACGATAAGTTGCAAAAATGGGAAACGTTTATAGACCATGAGAATATAAACTCTAAGGAACAGTTGGCACTATATCAGCATATAGAAAGCGGAGATGATATGAGATGGAACCTCTGAATAAAAATGGGCATTCCACATGCAGGGCTCCCGATGGAGTCCAGGAGGGAGGGTGGAGGAGAGAGAGGGGGGGGGGGGAGGAGAGGGAGGGTGGGAGAGAGAGGGGGAGGGAGGGTGGGAGAGAGAGGGTGGGAGAGAGAGAGGGGGGAGGGAGGGAGGGGGGGGAGGGTGAGGAGAGGGAGGGAGGGTGGGGGAGAGAGAGGGGAGGGTGGGGGAGAGAGAGAGGGAGGGTGGGGGAGAGAGAGGGAGGGGGAGGGAGAGAGGAGGGAGGGTGGGGGAGAGGGAGGGAGAGGGAGGGAGGGTGGGGGAGGGTGGGGGAGGAGAGGGAGAGGGAGGGAGGGTGGGGGAGGAGAGGGAGGGGGGGGGGAGGAAGGGGGGAGGGGAGGGTGGGGAGGAGAGGGGGAGGAAGGGAGGAGGGGAGAGAGAGAGGAGGGGGGAAGGGGAAAGAGGGAGGGGAGAGGGGGGGAGGGGGAAGGGGAAAGAGAGAGGGGGGGGAAGGGGAAAGAGAGAGAGGGGGGAAGGGGAAAGAGAGAGAGGGGGGGGGAAGGGAGAGAAAGAGAGAGAGAGGGGGGAAGGGGAAAGAGAGAGAGGGGGGAAGGGGAAAGAGAGAGAGGGGGGGAAGGGGAAAGAGAGAGAGGGGGGAAGGGGAAAGAGAGAGAGGGGGGAAGGGGAAAGAGAGAGAGGGGGGAAGGGGAAAGAGAGAGGGGGGGGGAAGGGGAAAGAGAGGGGGGAAGGAGAGAGAGGGGAGAGAGGAGAGGGGGAGGGGGGAGAGAGAGAGAGGGAAGGGGAAAAGAGAAGACAGAGAGAGGGAAGGGGAGAGAAGACAGAGAGAGGGAAGGGGAAAGAAGACAGGGAGGAGGGAAGAGGGAAGAGAGAAGACAGAGGAGGGAAGGGGAAGAAGACAGAGAGAGGGAAGGGGAAGAAGACAGAGAGAGGGAAGGGGAAGAAGACAGAGAGAGGGTAGGGGGAAGGAAGAGAGAAACAATAAAGAGATAAATGAGAAATAAGAGAGTGAGAATGAGAATGAGAAATAAAAGAATTATGGAGGGATGGAGAGACAAAGGAGAAGGTAGAGAAAGGTAGAAAGTGTGACGGCGAGAGTAAAGCAAACCACAGACAGATCAAAATTTGGCCCAGTTCAGCAGGAATCGTATGAATTGCGATCATGTATGAGCAGGCTGGTCACTCAGTTGACTTCAGTACAACCAGCATGTCAGGTTTTGTTTCATTCAATTATTTCCGGCGGCTATAGCGCTTGCAGTGATCATTGTATTCAGACGGCTGGGAAACCTCCCACTGTCAGAATACAAAAACTCTGTGGGAGGGATTCAGTGTTGATATAGGGAATTGAGCAATTTTCTGGGTTGCAGGAAAAAAAAAAATTGTTTAATGTATGACCTGCCTAAGGGTTTGTGGCTGCTCATCACTCACAGACATGGCACATCTACACTACAGATCTGCCTAAAAGTGGAACTTCACACTCTCAATCAACTGGACTATTTTTAACCCTTGTGCTGCTAGCATTAGTAAATAGATAGGAAAGTATATATTACTTTTTTTAAATTTATTTATTTACATTTCTTTAGTTACTTCCTGGTTTCCATGCCAAGCAAATGATTTCATACATCCCAGCAGTCTTCAAGAGGGGAGGGAGGGTTCTTAGCTCATGCCTGAGCTAAGGGCAGATGAATTTCATGAAGTGATACATGATTCATTGGCCCTTACTCAGGATGGCCACTTCCAGAAATGCCAGGGGGTATTTTTCTAAAGTGATTTCTCAACAAAACAAAGCATGGAGACATGGATGAGGGAGTTTGCTTAGAATATAAGAAAAATAATTAAAAAAAGCATTTTTGATTTGTGGTGCCCAGATACAGAGCAATTCCACTTAAACCTGGCCATACATGGTTAGTTGTTTTTTTTATTTTTTTCAGCTAGTGGGTAAAACCATCATATTCCTCCATCCACACAAATCTGCCGGGACAGTGTTTTTTTTTCGACAGCGGCTGATTAATTATTTTTCAACAAGCCACTTCAGCAGAAGTGGATTAAACAACCAACTCCTGTCAAGTAGGGGAGCCCAAAACACACTGACGGAAATTTGGCCAGTCCAGCAGGGATTCAATTATGGCCAGCAACAGGATAACAAGTGTGACAACTTACCAGCAACAAGATCATTATTGCAGGGAATATCACCCATCTACACAGGTTGCTTCCTCACTGGCTGTATAAGAAAGACAGTACTATCTGGCTGGGGAGTCACATTCTACAATGTTTTCTCTTTGCTGCAAAGCAATACTATCATGTCACTGGCGAGTTGTCACAAGCCACATTATTGCAAATATATTGTCCTTACAATGAATGTGCAAGAAAACATTCATCCATACAGGATTGTGAAAGACACACTCTCCACACAACCCTTTCAAAGACACAGCCATTCATTGACATGATACAGTTTACAGCTCTTAATCTAAAGCCACAGGCAGCTCACAGTGAATTAACAAGCTTGTTCTGTGACAGCTTAAGTGATCCTGGTTTGGCAACTCTGATTCCTGGTATACTCCTCTTACTTCCCTGATATGTACTTCTAATACTAGTGTTCCCCTTCCACCCTCCAGATGATAGAGCTCAATCTCCATCCACCTTTTTATGTGACAAGTAAATGTGTAAAAGGAAAGAGCAAAGCAGCGTGAGATACTACATACACAAACACCCAACCATGTTCAGGCACTGTGCTCCTCTGCCGATCTTTCCCAGGACAGTGTTCCATCAGGAAACTTGAAAGGAGTAATAGGATTGAGAGTTCTGTTACCCAGGGAGGGCATAGCATCTGGGAGAAAAGACTCAGCCCTAGTTCACACTGATGCAGTGTGATTTCTATGTGTTTTTTCAAGTGCGATTTCAGGAGCAGTTGTTGTGCTACTTTGCCTCAATTCTGATGCAATTTCTGTTCCGGCTAATTTTGTGACATTAGAAAAAAAATGTGTCTCTCACACTGAAATCACATTGCATATGAACACCTATGCGTTTTTTACGGCTGTTTTTCCATTTCAAAAATTTATTGCACCAGACACGCACAGGACCCTTTTGAAAATTGCATTGTGTTTGGAATGCGTAGGTGTGAACAACCTCCATAGAAAGCCATGTTATCTCCCTTGATATGCTAATCTATGCATTCTGGAACACAGAACCGGATCAGATTTGCATCAGTGTGAACCAGGGCTCAAGCTGAAGCTTACTACTGCCTGCAGCTCCAAGGTGCTCTCACATATCTCAGAAGGGAGTGAAGACACACAGAGAGGACCCTGCAACCTTATCTTTACCTCGGTTCAGCCTGACATTCACATGGATTGTACTAGTTGATTGCTGTGAGCTGTAGTAATGTGTTGGTGCTCAGTAGGAAAATGAGTCTTCTTTTGAACACAGTCTGCTCCCCAATGTCATCTCAATCATGACATCCTAAGCCAATATTGAATTGGCTGGCTGTTGAATTGCACAGGAATTGCAAATAACCATCTTTAGCCAAATAACTTTTCACCATCTAATTAGATTAAAGGGTAAAAGGCTGTGCAAGATGTTTTTCATCATTAGAGGAGTAAGCACTAAGGCTGGCCATACATTATACAATTATCTGCAGATTTTTGGTTTAGATTTACCAAAAACCATATAATAGGAGGACAAACCTAAACAACACTTTCAGTTGTATCCAATTAGGCAGGCCCTTGCACTACATAGTTGAAGGTAAATCTAAAGGAAATTGGGCAGAAAATCTGCAGATAATTGTATAATGTATGGCCAGCCTAAATTGAAACCCAAAACCTAAAAAAGAACTGTGTAAGCAGGACACCTGTACAGAAATGTGGGTCTGCAGACCTAAAACATTATTTTTAATTATAAATGAAGTTCCACATAAAATGTCAGAGAATAGACAGGGTTATTTACTTCTGTGGAGGATTGCAATTATCTTGAAGATAGCAATGGTACAAATAATTGCTTACTTTGTGTATGTTGTGCAAAAAAAGCAGTCTGAAAGCAGTGTGAAATGATACAGAAAGAGCTCAGACAAATGAGGTTGGTCTCAGCTGTCCAAGTGCAGCTTGACCGCCTTTGCCAGCACAATTAAAGGCTGGAATCACCTGACAATCAGGAATTAAGGTGTAAAGAGTGTGGCCCTCTAAAGGATTATTCACACAGGTTATGTGTATTTTCTGCATGGAGCACAGTTTTTTGCTGGCAGAGCTAGCTGAAGTTTCTCTATAAAATATGCACCTAAAGTATTCACAATTAGGCACGTTTAGATGGGCACAGCTCAAGACACGTACACATCTTCTGATAGCCTTATTTACATGTATATACACGCTGCTAACACATCTCATATTTTCATTTTTAGACCCAGCTATGTATGGCACCATTGATTCATGAAAGTGCTGAATTTTAAATGCATATAAAAACTATATGTAAGTAAAATGCAAACTTTAGCTTGTTTGCTCTAGGTTTGGGTGATTGTGTCATTCAAACTGTGTGTGTATGTGGACATGTACATCGAGTTCCAGGTGTTCTGCTAGCCATTTAGTGGTAATCTCTCACACTTAAAAATATTTAGGGATGAAATGATAGGACTGGTTGTGTTTATTACCATTTTAAGAAGACACTTCTCCAGATTCAGTGACAAGTCAGGAATAAACTTCCCTCCCAGGATGCTTGTCATATCATGGACAACATAGAGTTCAGGGTAATCTTTTACATAAGCTTGGCAGGACCTTATCATTTCCTGAAAATAAGCAAGAATACATTTATGTAAAATCTGTAAACAGCATTACATAATTATAAACTGTAACTAGACACATTGTTCAATTGGTGTCTATGCACTTAAAGTGTTACGAAACACACAATAGTAAAATCAATCTGTATATGCAGTAAAGCATGTTTGTTATACTCACTGTGGTATTTAACGGGTTAATCCTCTGCATTGTGTAAAAAGGCTGTTTGATTCTTTGTTTTCTGATCCTCCCCTTCTTCCACAGTCCCCCCAATCCATCAGGAGGTACAGAGCCCTAGGAGGGAGTGGGGTTTGCTTTTTTTTGGGGGGGAGTTAGGGTGCATGTGATTGGCACAGAGACAATCAGCGCTGTCCATACAGATGATCAGGGATCCTACAGCCTCATATGACACTCAGAGGATAATTAAAACTACTCCTACAAGCTTTAACCAGTGCTCTACCATACACTAATAGAATCACAAGACTGCTATGTACTGCTAATGAGAAAAGGTATTTAGAAGTTAATATTTACAAAAATAATTGCACTTCCATGTTCTGTGTACTGTGGGAGACCAGATATAGTGAATGGAGGGACCTGAGTTTTTAGTAACACTTTAGAAATTCAATTTATTCACTTCCTATTAAATTATTAACATAGTATTTCACATGCATTATTTTGTGTCTAGCCAACCTGAACAACATTTATATTTTAAACCAGACAACACAGTTTAAGTCTTTAATATTAATATACATATTACATAATCCGCCTCTGAAGACCGGAACACAGCGCGGGGGAACACAGCGAGAGGAACGCGCGGAGCAAAGGTAAGTGAATTTATGGGGAATTAAATTACTATAATTATATGGGGGATTAATTTTACATAATCTAAACATGGGGGATGTGTTTATTTAACCCCATGGAGCTCTTTACCCCCTTGTACTTCTTTTTTTTTTTCTCGCTTTGCAGATTAAATTATTGTTTGCCTAAGCCGGGTATTTATTGGTCGGCAAGCCGCGGATCGCAAGCCACATGCGGCTCTTCTGTGTGCCGGGCGCCCCGCTCCCCTCCCTCCTCTCGGGCGGCCGCCTCAAAAAGTCACAAGTGTTGTGTTTTTATGATGAATTACCATGAGGGGGATGAATTTACTATGGAGGATGAATTACTCTTTGGGGGATTAATTACCCTATATTGAATGTGACTATATGGAGGATGAATTACTATATGGAGGATGAATTACTATTTTTTTGAATTACTATATGGGGGATTTATGGGGGATGAAGCTAACTGCACGATCCTGTATATAGCATTAAGGTAAGAAAAACAATATATGCATTATTTGTTTTAAATGTTGCAATATCCCAGTTTTTTTTTCCCTTCGCGGGTCCAAGTGGCTCTTTATGTCTTAAAAGTTGCAGACCCCTGCAAGCAGAACTGCAAGCTGCTGGCATCTTTACTTACCTGGCACCAGGTAAGAAAGGATTCCTTATGTGAAAAATTTGCTGGCACCACCAGCAAATGGAGGATAAGTATATGCAGCACAGGTTTTGGAGCAAGTTCAAGTAATTCTGCGCCCAGACTATGCACACTAAAGTATTTACATATTCAGAACAAGAAGTAAAAACAATTTAAAACAAAACCCACATCCAACCATGTAGCTACATACATTGTGGCAAAACTAGGCTTCAAATCTCACAACAGAGGCACTGAATCTCTTTTCATAATGCTTTCTTTTGTACCAGAATCAAATCTAAAAAACTGAAATTGAAGCACCACACCACTGGTAAGAGGTCCAGATACAAATGTATTCCAATAAAAGTCAGGGGATAATTCAAATTAGTATCCAACGTGTTTTAGGGGTCCAAGAGCAGTCTCTTCAGACTATACAGCTGCTAAACCAGCTGCTGACAAGGCCTGTGCTTGCAATCATACTGGAAAAAAAAAAAAAAAAAAAAAAAAAAAATCACATAAAAAAGGTCCAGATCACTTCTAGTCTATTCACAATTTTGTTAATCATGCCCAGATGACCCTCAAAACGTGCTGGATACTTTTTGGATTGATCCCTTGCCTTCTACTGGAATAAATATGTATTTGGACCTCCTAGCAATGGTGTAGCACACCAATTTCAGTTTTTGTTACACTACACTAAGTCAAGGAGACTGTGGATATCCTCTGGGGTGTAGACGCTGCCTGTCCAAAAACCAGATCATTTACATCAGCATCACTTTAATCTAATAATACCAGTGAGATAACCCTAAGAGTCCAACGCTTTTTCTTTTTCTTTTCTTCAACAGAGTCTAATCTTGGCAGCCTACTAGACCTCTAATTTAAAACACATATTAGGTGTTTCTAAGCTGTTAGAAACTGACTGACAGGAAATTAGTCTTTGCTGTGATCTGTCTGAGGACTGCTGAGAACAAATTATTTCACATTACATGCTGCTAGAGGTCAGTGATGGCTTATTTTAAAGCTTTTTATGGCTTAAAGTGGTTCTAAAGGAAAAAGTTTGTTTTTATCTTAATACATTCTCTGCAACAAGCTGAAAAACCTTCCAATGCGTGTTTCCCCACAAACACTTACTTGAAATCATTATCGACCCAGCGCTGTCCCCACCAGCAGCTCTGCTCTCCTTTCTTGCTGCATGCACAGGCTGTACCACTGGCTCCCACTGCTGTCAGTCAAAACCTATGAAGAGGGAGCATGGGGTGGGGCTGAGCAGCACTGTGTGTGTCAATGAACACAGACAGCCCGGCTTGCGATTGAGCCTGCACAATTGCCCCCATAGCAAGCAGCTTGCTATGGGAGAACTCGGAGATAAAGAATAGCAGACAGCACCGGTGGGGGACTGCAGAAAAGGAGGTTCAGGACCGCTAAGTGTAAAACCAAGTGCACTTTTAGAAAACTTGGATGTACAATACACAGGCTTACCTTGAAATGTAAATTATTAATTTAAAAAAAAAAAAAAAAAAAACAGCCACGTTGTAGTGTATGTTCAGCCGAAACACTTTTTTAAGTTTAAGATTTGGGAGTTTTTAGAGTAGAGTAGAGAAGAGAAGAGTTAGAACCCCTGTCAAACTTTTACTGCTATCCTGGACTCGGTAAGAGAGATTTGCCCTCACTCCATGTCCTGCTGATGTTATACCAGAAGGAAAGTAAGGTAATTCTCTGACAGCGACACAGAAACAGATCTAAAACAAAATGACAAAATTAAGAAAATTATGGAGGATGCCAACCTCCTTAGGAAAAAATTGGTTGCCTGGATGTTTGCTGACTTCAAGACTTTGAGTCACCAACTAAGAATAAGTATACAGCAAGGGAAATCGGAGCTCCCCTTTTATATAAACGCTCTGGGTCTGTAACACAATAAGCCTCGATCCTCCTCTTCTGTGCTTAACATCCGGTATTGCGATGGTTAATAGTTCTGCAAGTGAAGCAAAAGCTGCAGTGAACAAGCTTCTGATGGGGACCCACCACCTCCTCCTCCATTGGAAAAAGTTGTTTCCCAGTGTACACTGTATATAACACAATCTCTAAATGGGGGGAGAATCTGATAAGCCACAGGATTCTCTCCACCATTCACAGATTGAGTTACATACAGTGCATAGTATGATACAACTTATCCCAATGAAGGAAGAGGGACAGGCCCCCCATCAGGGCTATTAACCTCCACAGTGCCAATAGTTCAGCAGAAGGAAGAGCACTGGGCATCCCTGCTGAGAAGATTCTACAGGATCCAGCTGCCTGCACAATGTGGGACATACTTCACAACAGGTAAGTTAGGTCACTAAAGCTATAGGGATTTTTTTTTTTTTTTTTAACTTCAGCTTTAAAAAAGTCTTACTTTACTTTACCATGTATTGTTTCAAAAGAAAAACATTTCTTCATACAGTGTATTGTGATGGAGTCTGCTGAGCTGTTCTTTTACAAAAGGTCTAATTTAGATGGAGCTGAATTCTTAAACAGTCAGCAGTTACCTGGGTTACATGTTATTCCTGGGCTGTGTCTATTCATGTTTTCCTTTTTACTGGATTGGTGAAAAGCAAGCAAGTTAGTAGCAGGGTACTTACCTGAATGTATCTTGTGGCATCTGCGCACAGCACATTGTAATCCTCAGCACAGCTGCGTGCTGCGTTCTGGAGAAATTTCTGGAACTCCATATGTTCACTGCTCAACTTTAATTTCAAGAACTAAATGGAGTGGAAAAGTGAAGGCATGTAAAGAAGAATATATGCATTTCAAACACTAGAGACTATTTTTAAAGAAAGCATTAACAATCAAAATCTGAGTATCCGGCCAAACTAAATTTCCGGTAGCTCTCATTCTCAGGTTTACATTTTTTCCTAAGTTTATTTCAAATAATGTATTGATAACTAGAAAGCTACCACAACAATTTATGTGATCTGTGTAAATTCATGTGATACACTGTACCTCAAAATGTTTGTATTCCTTCATCTGCAATATATTGAGATTATTCTTTTTCTTGTTAATGAATTTAATCATCAGTTTCACATAGGTATCCTGCTCCAGAGTAGTGAGTGAGGAGTAATGAGGGTATGGTACACGTGGTTCTGGAAAGGGTGGAACGCTCTTTGTAGGAGGTGGAGCGAACAGAAGACGGGCTATCAGTGACAGGAGACTGAAGAGCTTCTGACATGGAAGGTGTAGGATCAGATTCTGCAGATTTGGGTCTGGAAAAAAATAATAGGAGAAACTAAAAAACAAGTTAAAGCAATGTATTTATACAAGGAAGGTAACAGAATTTCTGTTTGGGATGCACAATACATTGTCTGTACTTATTAACCCTGGTCTGCCCTGACATATACCCGGTACCTCCACCAGGGTTAAGCTTTCCCACTTTATACTAAAGAAAAGGAATGTGGCTCGAGTTTTACTTTACAGTTTTGGCAAAGAACAAAAAGCATGTTTTCAATAGAAAACTGGTATGCCACGTCCAACAACAAATATAGCCAGTAGGGAATGTTTTGAGCCAAGATGAGCTCTGTCCTTGCTGGCACACCTAGTGGTTTGTCATGCAAGAAGACCTGGTGGAGCCTTGAGTCACAACGATTATACCCAAATACATTACTCTGGAAACCTTGCAGAGATAACATTTTTTGACAAAATTAATTCCTTTACTCCCCCCCAAAAACCCTAGGTATTGTAAAGAATGTGTTAGAATGGGGTTCCCTTGCTGAATGTTACTATTTTGCTCTTTCAATCATATTATTTATAGTAATTTTATTTTTAAAATGTACAAAATAGGTGAAGTTCACAGTTTAGTACATTGCTTATCTACAGGAAACATCTCTGTCTCCTCACCATCAAGTAATATCACTACTAATGATTTTATAAAGTAAATTACGCACCTCTGATTACTGAATAAAAAGCTGGTGCATTGTATGGGGTCCGAAAAGAGCGTTCAGCAGTTTCCTTTTTTCACAGTAAGACAATGAACAGCTAAAACACTCACAAACAGGGATTCAGAATTATGCTAAGATTTCTCATTATGGCCCACAGTAGCAAAAAGTGAAGTGACTTGAGCCACAAAGAAAGGATAGGACATCAGGAGCACTTTGCACTAGACACTTCACAGCTGTCTTTCTAGATAGGTGGAGATGCCTGTCATAAGGCCAAAGCAGGGAATCTACCACATTAAATTATCATGGACAATAGAAAGATGCTGATTCAGGGGCTTCAGCTGTAATGAACAGCATACAAAAGACTTACTATTATAGAACGGTGTTTTGAAATAGTAACGGGTGTAGAAGGAAATGGACAGCACAGATCACTAAACCTTATATTTAAGAAATCTACATATTATATATTTATATAAACTATTATTCCTGCGCCAACAGATTCCCACAGGTTCTATACTGCTGCTGTGCACTGTGCAAAAAACACAAACCACAATAAATAATGAGCAAACCAGCGCAAACATAGACCTCTACACACCATCAATACATAAAGTGCATCATAATAAAAAAAATAAAGAAAATAATATTAATAAAAATCAATAAAAATTAATAATAAAAGTCCACAGAAAACACCAAAAGATTTTTTTGTCCGTGAAATATATATATATATCAAGTGAAAAAATATCAAGTGAAAAAATATTTATTAATCAAGTGACTTTCTTCTTTTCTCTGTATAGCTGCTGCTATATCCTGAGCTGGGATGTGAGAGTCCTGAGGAGGAAAAAACAGTGTTCATTACTGGTCTGGAAGATGCTGGTTTTAAATAAACATGCCTTTTGAAAGAGAAATAAATGTGAGTGGTAATAATTCTTAGTTTGAATATTGATTTTAAGTGGCAATATTACACTATGTAAGTTTTTTTCTCCCTGGTTGAACGGTGGAGCCTATTTGTATCGTTGAAGATCCCTTTAGAGTGAACAGCAAAGAGGGTATTAGGATCCCTTAAATTCCTAAAAAGTGTCCCATTCACCTAAATCTGGTGAGTGTATTTGATGTTGGTTTCACGGGTGGAAGGTGAAAGTTCTTTTTGGTGTATTTGAAGAGTCTTTGGGAAAGAAGAAAGTCACTTGATTAATAAATATTTTTTCACTTGATATATATATATATATATATATATTTTCACAGACAAAAAAATCTTTTTGGTGTTTTCTGTGGACTTTTATTATTAATTTTTTTATTGATTTTTATTAATATTAATTTTATTATTTTTTTTTTATTATGATGCACTTTATGTATTGATGGTGTGTAGAGGTCTATGTTTGCGCTGGTTTACATATTATATATTTAACTTTGGTGAGCAGTTCTTGAGCCAGATGGATGATAGTGTCAAGCTGTGATGTAAGAACAATGTATTATGTAACATCCTGGTCAGGTCACCGTATTGGAAAAGTGTTATATAAATCTGACGAAACCTAGTATGTACGTGTAATCTGACATGGGACTGTTATTTACATTCTTAAGTTAAAGTGAACCTGTACCCAGATTATGTACACTTTAGGCTAGGTTCACATATGTGCGCTCTGTGAGCTGCAGTTTGCTCAGGCATGGCAACTCATTCATTTGAATGGGCTGCCGTGCCTCCTGAAACACAGGGAGAAGGTCCCTGCACCATTTTTGGAATCGCAGCCAACACAGGAACTGCAAGTACAGTGCGATTCCCAGTTCATATGTGATTTCCAGTGTGGGCAACGTGCTATTAGGATTAATGGCACCCGCCCGCATACCTTGTGTTTCACTGTGAGGGTGGTTGCAGCTGGGGGAACAAGTGCAGTTCCCGCAGCAGCAATCGCCGACACAGGTGTGGACCTAGCCTAAAGGTTTACATATTTTGAACAAGCGTGAAAAGCCGCATTAAATCCATGTTTACGTGTGCAGCTTTCAGGCTTCAGACAATACTCAATAAGAGGAATCATTATTGTCCTGAGCCTGTTCATGCCTGAGCAATGCACTTCCATTCACTTAGAAAAAGGAGCAAGAGCTTTTTGGTAGTGACATTTTGGCCCCATAAACGTTAATGGGATTGCATGAAAAACATGAAAATGCAGACACACAAGTGTGAATCTAGCCTTATATCTGTACTTATAAGGACTAGTTCACATAGGCACAGAGGCCCATACAGTGAGCAGAAGGGCTACGCTTATGTGCCCAAATGTACTGTAAAGATGCAGGCAGCATGCTGTTAAAAATCAATGACAGGCTGACAGACACAGCAAATTTGAGTGTTTCGTACAGGAACAGATGCACATCCCTGGACAATAACAGCCATGTATCCATGCCTTTATGGATGTAAAAGCTAGCATGTGTAAGGTCTCAGCTGCTGTGTTTGTCAGCCTGTCATTTATTTTGAACAGGCCACTGGCTGTGGCTCTATGCAACACCTACAGTTGTGACCAAAATTATTCAACCCCCACTGAAATTGAGTGTTTTGGCCAGTTTGACATTGCTTTTGATCATTCAGTCATCTTGCTTACATTTACATTAAAGAGGCACTTGTAGGTCAGACAAATATAACATAACAGTTATAATGAAATAACCACAAATGTCTTTTCTGTGCTCACAGCATTATCAGTTTTATTCAACCCCCAAGTGACATTCAATCTTAGTACTTAGTACAGCATCCTTTTACAGTTATAACAGCTTTTAAACGTGAAGCATAGCTTGACACAAGTGTCTTGCAGCGATCTAACGGGTATCTTCGCCCATTCTTCATGGGCAAAGGCCTCCAGTTCAGTCACATTCTTAGGCTTGCGCACTGCAACTGCTTTCTTTAAGTCCCACCAGAGGTTCTCAATCGGATTTAAGTCTGGTGACTGCGATGGCCACTCCAAAATGTTCCAGCCTTTCCTCTGCAACCATGCTCTAGTGGACTTGGAGGTATGCTTGGGATCATTGTCCTGTTGAAAGGTCCAACGTCTCCCAAGCCTCAGGTGTGTGACGGACTGCATCACGTTTCCATCCAATATCTCCTGGTACTGAAGAGAATTCATGGTACCTTGCACACGCTGAAGCTTCCCTGTACCTGCAGAAGCAAAACAGCCCCAAAGCATGATTGACCCTCCACCATGCTTCACAGTAGGCAAGGTGTTCTTTTCATCATAGGCCTTGTTCTTCCTCCTCCAAACATAGCGTTGATCCATGGGCCCAAACAGTTCTAATTTTGTTTCATCAGTCCACAGAACACTATCCCACAACTTTTGTGGTTTGTCCACATGGCTTTTGGCATACTGCAGTCGACTCTTCTTATTCTTTGGAGACAGCAAGGGGGTACGCCTGGGAGTTCTGGCACGGAGGCCTTCATTACGCAGTGTGCGTCTTATTGTCTGGGCTGAAACTTCTGTACCCACATCTGACAAATCTTTTCTCAGTTCCTCAGCAGTCACACGGGGACTTCTCTCCACTCTACGCTTCAGGTAGCGCACAGCAGTCGAAGTCAGCATCTTCTTTCTGCCACGACCAGGTAGCGTTTCAACAGTGCCCTTTGCCTTGAATTTGCGAATGATGCTTCCTAAGGTGTCTCTTGGTATGTTTAACATCTTTGCAATCTTCTTATAGCCATTGCCCTTCCTGTGAAGAGAAATCACCTCTTCTCTTGTCTTCCTGGACCATTCTCTTGCCTTCACCATGTTTGTAACCACACCAGTAAATGTCTAGAAGGAGCTGAGTATCACAGTCATTTTAAAGCTGCCTAATTGGTGCTTATTATGCTTGATTGCTGCTCGGTGACATCCACAGGTGTTTTCAATACCTGATGGAAAGCACCTGTATGAACCTCTGTTCTTCAGAGTGGTAGTCTTTAAGGGGTTGAATAATTGTGGCAATGAAGAAACCACATAAGAACCATTTACTACTGTATTACATAAACAATTGATGTCATTTTAGTTGCATTTGGGTAGTTACAACGTCCTTGTAGGATTTGATTCTGAATACAATTCCAAATGTACACTATAGTCCCTAAACCCCTTTACAGCATTGGGGGTTGAATAATTTTGGTCACAACTGTATGCTTCCCAGGCACATAAAACATGTCCCTTGTACGGGACTCTGTTTTTCTGTGAAAGTGTCCTAAGCATTGTTAAACTACATGCACATGGGCACATTTGGTCATACAGCGTAAAGACACTGCATATATCTGGTGCAAGGGATGTCCTTAAGCTGCCCATAGACATGAATGAGGGAAGGCAGCTGTACGCAGCTATGCATCACTATTTGTGTAT